TGTGGGTCTGTGCAGATGGGGTGATGGTGGAGTGGGGGTGCGTGTGCTGTGTGAGGGGAGCGGGGCGTCTGTGTAGACGGGGTGATGGTGTTGATGGCAGTGTGAAGGTGTAGGCAGTCAGGAGCTGTGTGTTTGTGATGCCCCCAGAGGATGTCCCCTCCACAGCTTTCCTGACAAAAAGGACCTGCGTCTGCACCCAAGCCCCGTGTTCAGTGGGGTCGTCAACCAGTCCTGGGCTAGTCCATGTGGATTACCAGTGGCCCCCGCTTCGGCCTGCTCCGAAGGTGAATCTGGAGGGGATTATCCCGCCGGGGGTGACCTGACACTGCTGGATGACAGGTGCCAGGACACGGATTCCTCCTGTTCTCGTCCATGCTGGCTGAGCTGCGGGGATCCCACTAGACCCAGGTGTAATCCCTGTCAGCCACGGATGAGTAACCCCCGTCAGCCACGGACAAAGCCCCCGTCCTCACCGCCGGACACGCCACGCAGTATTCTGCATTTCCCACCCGGTGTGGGCTGTATGTACGCAGACCGGATTCTCTAAAACCTAGGTGTACCCCCAGCTTTCTGTTCCAGGTTTTGTAGGACGTTCCCTCCCTCCTTTGGACACGGACCACCAGCTCCTCGAGGACAGGGAGCCGGTCGCGTCACGTTGGTTTTCGGAGCAGACACGGGGGGACTGCACCTTACGGCGGCACATGCTTGTGGAGTGAATCTCGATGGTGAAGAAGTGAGCCTGCCATGCCTTCCCTTCACGGGAGGGTACCCGTGAGCTCAGGGCTTCAGCACGAAGGACACCCAGGAGTCTGCATGCTGCATACGATCACGCTAACCGCACATGCTAAGCTGAACCTTGAAATGCACCGTGAAGTCTTACCGGACACAACCTGAATTGTTTTTCATTCTTCTATGGACAGGTCTACCGTAAACGAGCTTAAAAACATCAGACGGTTTTCCATCTCTGAGTTTGAAGCGCACCGGTAAGAGATGGAGTCCAGTCCACCATCCAGCGCTTGACAACCACACTAGGGACTTGACAGGGTACTGGCCGTGGGCACCGTGACAGCCTGGGGATAGCAGCCACACTCTCCACCTGTTCTCGTCATCTATCGGCCCTCTGAGTACCACGGTCTTGTTGCTTTTGCAAGCGGTTTCTCCCCAAATACACTAGCCCGACGCTGGGATACTGGGGGGGACGGGACAGTGGACCCTACTTCTCGCGCCCGGAAGTGCTCTCACCACAGTTTGTGTATCCCACCACAGAGATCACAGGAAACTCCTGCCGCCTCCGCTGCTTCCCCAGGAGACGCCTTTTCTTCCTCAGTCTCTCCAGGGCCTTCCGAATCTTTATCTCCTTTTCCTTCAAGAGGCGCTGTTGCACCTGCATGAAAGATTCTCCTAAAAACACCCAAGATAGTGAGTCAGCGGGCAGATGTGGCAGAAAAGATGTCAGGGCAAAGGGCGCCCCAGAGAGGGATGTGGACTGACATCTTCTCGCCGGGATCCTCCTGACCTGTTCTCCCACAAGGCCGCTGCCTCAACACCTTCCCATCTACAAGATGGCTCTGTCCAGCAGAAGGTGGCCTCATCTGCGGCCTTCTGCCCCCTGAGGTCAGGTGGGCTCCCCTTTTTTCGGGAGCAAGGGGCAGTCTCACAAGGACAGCCGCCTGATATCCACAGCCAACTGAAAGACACATCCACATCCTGACCCCCAGGACCGGTGAACGGGACCTCATTTTGGAATAGGGTCTCGGCACCTATAACTGGTCAAGGATTTGAGGTGAGCTCATCCTAGATGAGGGCGGCCCTAAATCCAAAGGCAAACGTCTGTAGAACAGACAGAAGGAGACACAGAGGAGAAGCCACGTGAGGACGGAGCCAGAGATGGGAGGGACACGACCACAAACCCAGGGACGCCCGGAGACCCAGAAGCTGGATGAGGCAGCAAGGACCTTGAGCCTCTGGAGGGAGCACGGTCCTGCCCCACCTGGATCTCAGCGGCCCTGCCCTGCCCGGATCTCAGACTCTGGTCTCGAGAGTGGTTTTTAAACCCCTGGTTTGTGGTCTTTTGTTACAGGTGCCCGAGGAGACCACCTAGATACCTTAGCTTGTTTGAATGTGACCACATTCGAGGCCCACATGCAGCCCTTGCCCCACTGGGATCTTTCCACAACGTCCTCTTCCTAGGGGTAGCTGCTGTGACACTCCCCCCTCCCTTTAGCACCCCTTGACCTCACACGTTACCTGACCCCATGATGTAGCGCGAGCCCCCTCCTCGTCCATCCGGGCGGGCAATGCTGCTTTTCAGGTGGGACCTGCCGTGGAAAGGGGGCATCTCAGCAGAGACACATGTCCGTGCAGTGACAGCAGAGCAGGTATCAACACAGACAAGTGAGGGTGAGAACTCTGGGTGGAGAGAGCAAGGCGGGGTGGTCTTCCCTCCCACCTGGACCTTCTTCACCGCGGGTGGAGGGTCCCACAGTGGGGTGACGTGCCCTGGCAGGCATGCTGCTGGGACATGGCACCAGGCAAGCCAAGCTGTCCAGGAGGGCGTGGCCAGCCCTGCATTCTGTCTTCACTACGCTCCGGGTGATGGTGAAGTCAAACACACAACTGCGAGAAGAGGCTCTGCTGTCAGCTGTGACAGCTGGTGGTGTGCCAAGTACCTGAGAAGGGGGAGCTCGGCCAGGGCCACCTGCAGCCGTGCTTCCCTGGTCCGGGCATTGCAGCGGAAAATGTGAAGGACAACCGTGAATCGGTCGAACACCTGCACGCCCCAGGTGGCTTCCAGGTCCTTCTGGAAAGGGAGAGAGAGGGAGTGAGTGAAGGCATCTGCAGTGGTACCTCGGGTGAGGGGGCGACTGTGACACTGTCCGCAATCCCCTGTCCTCAGCTGTCCCGTCCCAGCGGGATGCTGACCCCACTCCCCCAGCCCATCGAGACTCCCAAATACCTTGGTGGGCGTGGCCAGCCTCTCTACATTCAGAAAGACTGCTGTGATTTCTGGCGACCCTCTGATCTTCTCTGGGGAGAAGAGAAGGTCCCCTCAGATGTCTGTGCTCCGTGGAGTCCATCGTGGGACTGACCCTCAGCTTTGGTTGGCTGTGCCCACCAGACACCCTCAACTCTCTGTGCGCATATTAGGGAAGTCGGGTGTGCCGGACAGGGGTCAAGGGGAGGACTGGGGTCCACCTGCAGGGGTGTGGGTCTTGCAGACACATGGTGGTCGCACAACCCCACAGGGACTGAACGGGTCTAAGACCCGGGCTGACACAGACGGGCAGCACGCACCCCTCTGGGCGTATCTGCAGGGCTCAGCTTGCTGATCTCTATGGTGAGCTGATGTCAGTTGGGGCTGGAGACCCTTGGGGGTCTGTGGAAGGCCGGGTTCATACCCAGCATGCTGTCTGGAGAGGGAGCTGGGCTGGGGGCCTCGGGGATGGTTTCCACCCTACTCCTAACTGCCGATGGCACCACGGGGCACAGTGCAAGTTGTCAGAGGCGCACGGTAGGCCTGTCAATGTCTGATCCAAGTTCCCATGAGGCCGCCTCTACCCAGCCCAGATGGAGAGCCCGACTTTTGCTCTGTTTCAGGAGGAAGGGAGGGGCACAGGGACCCACCTGCCAGGTGCTCTAAGGTCCCTCTACCGAAGATGAGCTTCCCATCTGGTGTTTTGGTGGGTACCACCATCCTGTCCGCCACCGACCAGCCATCCAGTGTGTGGACCAGTGCTTCTGCCTCCGCCACCTGCCACTCAGCTTTGGGGAGACACAGGGCCAGGGTGAGGGACGTGTCCCCGTGGGCTCAGCCCTGGGCCCCATCCAGCCCTGGCCCGTGTCCCTCGGCTGGGATGGCTTCCTGCAGTGTGTGCAGAGGTCATGAGACAGCACTCAGGGACACAGTTCTGCTGTTCCAGGCACAGACTGCGAGAAGGGGAGGACAAGGCCAGGGGGACGCAATGACGGGCCCTCCTTACATGGGAACTGGGGGCTTGGCAGTGAACGGGACGTCTGTCTGGAACGCCGCCAGGACAACGTATGATGGGCAGCCCCTGCTCAAGGCCCCAGCCCCCCACACCCTCAGCTCCTGTGACCAGACCCTCCCTGGGACTCCGCCCACCATCTTGGATGCTCCTGGACCCTTCCCCAGGCCCCCGCCCAGACAGGGCCGGCATCTAGGCCCCACGCGTCATCCTGTCTGTCCGGGGTGGCTGCGATCTTTCTTGTGCTGCATTGGCACCGGGCTCTGGGGATACCCACTCCTTGCCCACGGTGGCTCACGGCCCACCCTGCAGGGAATGTGGCATGTTCCCTGGGCCCTCAGGGGCTGCCACGCAAGATGTGCTGTCTGCTGGGTCATGACAGACCATGGGGGCCACTCCGAGACACTGCGCTGTCCCGAGTGCCCCACCAGGCTGCCCCCCACCCCTGTGGCACGATGTCACAGAGGAGCCGTAGCATCTGCACAGCACACCCCCTGCTGCATTATCCCCACTCCAGCGACCAGGTGCTGCAGTCTTTAGGCCAGCCTTGCTGAGCAGTGGCAAACCTTAGGTGCCTGAATCGTCCGCAGAGCTCAGGCACAGGGAGGAAACTGAGGCTAGGAGGGGATGCTAACGACAAGCCTCGTAGGGATCCGAAGCCATGGGGAGAGGCCCCAAGCTCTGCTTGGTGGGAGACGGGGTGCTCCATCCTCTGGGCTGAGAGGAGGCACAGTGTCCTCACTTTAACTCCTGATGGGCCTCGCGGGTCCTCCTCACCTCCACCCTTGCAGTCGCTCAGGTCAGGTGCATGGGGCCACCCCTCGACTTCCCTCCTTCAACGTCACACGTAGGCCATCAGCAAACCCCACAGACGCTGTCGTTCCTGACCTCCATGGGGGGGGGCCATGTCCCCCAGCTCCATCGTGGATCACTGTGAGGCTTCCCACAACACCCTGCTGGGGTCGTGAGCCTTCCCCACGAGCTAAGGGTGTGGTCAAAATGCCATGTGGAACCCCCCACCCCTAGGGCTGGGTACCCACTTGGTGGGAGTGAACACTGAGAAACACTGTGGAGTCCACAGTTCAGAGACACAGGCTCATTCACGACTGGGACTATGGAACGCGTCCCCTGCCCACCTCACCACCACAGCACCAAAGGCCCCTGGACGGCAGCATCTATTGCCCGGTGCCTTATGCTCAGCTGTTAGGCAGAAATTACAGGACCCAGAGCAGCATCAGAACCCGAGTCCAATACAGAGAGGACATTGGATTTGTCAGACCAGGAGTTGAATACGACTATAGGACCCCTGGGTGACTCAGTCGGTGAAGCGTCCGCCTTAGGCTCATGTCATGGTCCCAGGGTCCTAGGATCGAATCCCACCTCGGGCTCCCTGCTCAGCAGGAAGTCTGCTTCTCCTTCTTCCTCTGCCCCTCCCCCTGCTTGCGCACGTGCTCTCTCTCTCTCAAATAAATAAATCTTTAAAAAAACACAAACGACTATGATTCATACGGTATGGGCTCTGACGGATAAAGTAGAAAGCACGCAAGAACAGATGGGCAGTGTAAGCAGACAGATGGGAACCCTAAGAAAGAACGGAACACAAACACTAGCGCTCAGTAACACTCTAACGGAAGCGAAAAATTCCTCTGATGGGCTTCTGAGTGGGCCGGACAAGGTCGAGGCACAGGTCCGTCAGCGTGCAGACAGGGCGAGAGTGACAATCACAAACGTCTGCCGTGGGAACGATGTTGTCGAGAGAGTGAAGAGTCAGGCCACCGACTTGGAGTGAAGCCTTTGTAAAACATCTGAGAAAGGACTGTTATCCACAATGTGCGAAGAACGCTTTTGAGGCTCAGCAATAAGGAAAGAACTTGATGACACAATGGTCTGGAGAGCCAACACACATCTCACAGAACACACGGGGACTGCAAACACTAGGAAGGGATGCTCCGCGCCATCGCTCCTCGGGGAAATACGTGCAGGTTTCAACAGAGCCTGGTAGGCACCATGAGACTGGCCCCAAATGCGCCACGTGGACAGCACCTAATGCTGGCGAGGATACGGAGCAACAAACAAGATTTGTTCATGGTTGCTGATGGCAATGCAAAATGGTGCAGCCCCTCGGAAAGCATCTATCTATTTGACAGAGACAAACAGAGAGCGAGCGAGCGTGAGCACGAACAGGAGCAGAGGGAGAAGCAGGCTCCCTCCCTACTGAGCAGGGAGCCCGACGCGGGTCCCGGGATCACGACCTGAGCCCAAGGCAGACGCTTCACCGACTGAGCCACCAGGCGCCCAGACAACAGGTTATCGTCGGCCCTGACACAAGTGAGCTGTCAAGCCACACAAAGGCACGCAGGAACCTTAGATGCACGTTACTGGGTGAAAGGAGCCGGTCGGCAAAGGCCTCACAGTGCACGATTCTCACTAGGACATTCCGGAAAAGGCAAGACGCAGGGGGGTGGGGCTGCTTCCAGCGGCTCAGGGCAGGTTTGGGGGATTGGAGGGGTGGGGTTTCATTGGGGCCCTCGGCGCCCCGCCCCTCCGAGCCCTCGCCCTGAGCACCTGTCCCCGAAACCCCGCCCCCGGCAGCCCCGGCCCCGAGTCTCCACCCCCGATAGTCCCGCATCTGAGTCCCCGAAACCCCGCCCCCGGCAGCCCCGCCCCCGGGTCTCCGGCCCCGCCCCCGGCAGCCTCGCCCCTCTGAGTCTCCACCCGCGACAACCCCTCCTGAGTCCTTGCCCTGAGCACCAGGGCTCGAAGCCCCGTCCCAGAGTTCCACTCTGAACTCCAACCCTCGGAGTCCCGGCCCTCCTAGTCCCCGCCCCCGACAACACCGCGTCTGAGCACCAGCACTCGAGGCCACGCCCCTCCGAGTCTCCGTCCCCCAACAACTCCGCCCCTCTGAGTCCCCGCCCCGAGCGCCTGCACTCGAAACCCCGCCTCTGAGCGCCAGCCCCCCGAGCCCCGCCCCTCGAGTCCCCGCCCCCGGCAACCCCGCCTCTGAGCACCTGCACTCGAAGCCACGCCCTTCCGAGTCTCCGCCCCCGGAAGCCCCGCCACTCACTGTCCCCGGCCCGGCCCGCGGCGCCGCTCCGGATCACCTCGGGTCAGCTGCGGCTTTCCCGGTACCCGCTTGACCTCGGGGTGAATCAGGCACACACGCTGGGTCCCCACTGGCAGCAAAGGGTCCCTCCTCAATAGTTCCTCCTCTTCCTCCTCCGCATCCTCTGGCTCCTCCTCCTCCTCTCCCGTTCGGCTTCTCGGGCCATCAGCCCGTGGGCCCCGTCCTCCACCTCCTCGCCCCTTGAGGTCCCCGGGGCCAAAGGCGGCGAGCGCGCGGTGGGGGCAGGCCGGCAGCGGAGGCGCAGCTCTCGGAGCCCCGCGGCCGCGAACCACCCGAGAGAGCCAGGCCCCCGGCCTGACGGCGGCCCGCAGGGCCCACATTCCGCGTTTGCCCGCACGCAATGGGGCGGGGCTTCGGGGGCGTGCTCCCGTGCGGGCTCCCCATTGGCCGCCGGGCGTCACGTGCCCGCCGCCCGCTGATTGGCGCGCGCAGTCGCGGGCGGGCGGGGCTTGGGACGCCACCGCCCGGGACGAGCTTCACTTCGGCGGGGCCTGGTCTCGGCGGAAGCCCGCGCCAGGTAGTTCGGCCAGCGGGACCGGGCGCTTCCCCACACGCGTCCCTCTCCGGCTTCCGCGCGGGACGGGGGTCTGGTCCTGGGAGTCCATTCCCCTCCCCGGGGGTCCCGAGCCCAGCCTTCAGGGTCCGAGTGCTGCACCAGGGGTCCCACATCCTGCTTTGGGGGTCCGAGTGCTGCCCGGGGGTCCCACATCCTGCCGTGGGGGTCCGAGTGCTGCCCCGGGGGTCCCACATCCTGCCGTGGGTGTCCGAGTGCTGCCCCGTGGGGTCCCACATCCTGCCTTAGGGGTCCGAGTGCTGCCCCGGGGGACCCGAACCCTGCCTTGAGGGTCCCGAACCCTGCCTTGGGCGTCCGAGTGCTGCCCCGGGGGTCGCACATCCTGCCGTGGGGGTCCGAGTGCTGCTTCGGGGGTCCCGAACCCTGCCGTGGGGGTCCGAATGCTGCCCCGGGGGGGTCCCACATCCTGCCGTGGGGGTCCGAGTGCTGCCCCGGGGGTCGCACATCCTGCCTTGGGGGTTCGGGTGCTGCCCCGGGGGGTCCCACATCCTGCCTTGGGGGTCCAAGTGCTGCCCCGGGGGTCCCACATCCTGCCGTGGGGGTCCGAGTGCTGCCTCGGGCGTCCGAGTGCTGTCTCGGGGGTCCCGAACCCTGCCTTGGGGGTCTGAGTGCTGCCCCCGGGGGTCCCACATCCTGCCGTGGGGGTCCGAGTGCTGCACCGGGGGTCGCACATCCTGCCTTGGGGGTCCCGAGTGCTGCCGCGGGGGTCCCACATCCTGCCGTGGGGCTTCCGAGTGCTGTCCCCGAGGTCCCACATCCTGCCGTGGGGGTCCGAGTGCTGCCCCGGGGGTCGCACATCCTGCCTGGGGTGTCCGAGTGCTGCCTTGGGGGTCTCACACCATGCCTTGAGGGTCTGAGTGCTGCCCTAGTGGTCCTATATCTTGCCTAAGGGGTCTGAGTGCTGCCGCGGGGGTCCCACATCCTGCCGTGGGGCTTCCAAGTGCTGCCCCCGAGGTCCCACATCCTGCCGTGGGGGTCCGAGTGCTGCCTCGGGCATCCGAATGCTGCCTCAGGGGTCCTGAACCCTGCCGTGGGGGTCCGAGTGCTGCCCCGGGGGGTCCCGCATCCTGCCGTGGGGGTCTGAGTGCTGCCCCGGGGGTCGCACATCCTGCCTTGGGGGTCTGAGTGCTGCCCCGGGGGTCCCACATCCTGCCGTGGGGGTCCGAGTGCTGCCCCGGGGGTCCCACATCCTGTCGTGGGGGTCCGAGTGCTGCCCCGGGGGTCGCACATCCTGCCTTGGGTGTCCGAGTGCTGCCCAGGGGGTCCCGAACCCTGCCGTGGGGGTCCGGGTGCTGCCTTGGGGGTTTCACACCATGCCTTGAGGGTCTGAGTGCTGCCCTAGTGGTCCTATATCTTGCCTAAGGGGTCTGAGTGCTGCCGCGGGGGTCCCACATCTTGTCTTAAGGGTTTGAGTGCTGCTCCGGGAGGGGGTCCCACATCCTGCCTTGTGGATCTGAATGCAGCCCCAGGAGTCCCGAACCCTGCCTTGGGGGTCCAAGTGCTGCCCCAGGGGTCCCACATCCTAACTTGGGAGTCCGAGCCCATCCCAGGGATCCCGAACTCTGCCTTGCAGGTCCAAATGCCCCCGGGGATCCCATATACTGCTTTGGGGGTGTGAGTGCGGTCCTGGGGATCCCAGACACTTCCTTGGGGGCATCTGAGCTGTTCCGTGGGGGTCCTGAACTCTGCTGTAGGATCTGGAGCCCGGCCGGGGAGTGGGGGCTCCAGAACACTGCTTGGAGGTTCTGAATTTAGCCTGGGGGTCGTGAAGTCTGTCAGTAGTCCAAATGTGGCACGGGGGTTTCACGCACCAGGGGTTCAGGCCCTGGGGTTAGAACCAGCCGTGGGTGTCCCAAACTCTGCCTTGGAGATTCTGGTCCGGTCCCAGGGGTTTGAAAGTGTGCGCTGGTAGCCTGGAGTGTGGCTCCAGACTCTGCATTGTGGGGGAGGGGGACAAGTGGAGCACCAGGGGTGCTGTACCCTGCTGAGGGAGTCCTGTCCCATCCCTGGGGGTCTGGAACCCTGCCTTGGGGGTCCTAGCCAGTCCTTAGGAGTCTAAAAGTTTGCCTGGCATGTCTGAGTCCATCAGTGCTTCAGGGTTAGGGTTTAGCCGCATGGGTTCCCCAGTCTGCCTTGGGCACAGGGTGCTGACTTGGGGCATCCCCGGTGCTGCCCGGGGGTCTGGATCTGGCCTGGGCGGATCCTGAAGTCTGTGCTGGTAGCCTGAGTGTGGCCCTGGGGGGTCCCAGGACCTCCTTGGCAATCAGAACCTGGATGGTGAAGGTGGTGTGGAGCACGATTGCACAGTCCACCGGGTCCAGCAGAGTGAGGGGTGGGCTGGTTCCAAAGGAGCGCCCCTCCTGCTCAGTCTGTGATCAGTTCTGTTCTCCAGGAAAAATCCCGAACAGCATCCACGTTCCCTGTGATGATGGGACGGCTCCTCGTTCTGACGTATGCAGAGGGAGATGGCAGAGTAGTACAGGGGGACGTGGCCCGGGAAAGCAGCTCAGTGGCTCTGTAGGGATGGGCGTGGGGATTAAAAGCAGTGTTGGAGATGGTGTTTCGAGCAGGATCTGTCCTATGCACAGCCCGGACAAACGTGAGCCAGTTGAGCAGAATTAAATGGAGATGTAGATCGTTTGTCTTAAAGAAAATGGGCACAGTCAGAATGTGGCCCCAGTGTCACCCGTGAAGCCCTGGACGGGCCATTGTTCCCGGATGCCATTTCCTGGGGGAGGGAAGGAGAGGCTGGATTAAAAGTTGCCATAAGGAATGCCCGAGTGTGTGCGTTCTGGGCGGCGTCTGTCCTTCCGGGGCTGGTCCCCCAGCCCTCCGCTCTGTCACACGGCTCGAGACCGCCAGGCACGGGGAACGTGGATGAGTGCGTCCATGGAAATACCCTGGGTCTTCTGTCCCCGCGAGGGTGTGTTTGGAGGGCCTGGGTCTGAGATGCTGGGGTGGCGCCTGTTGCAGCGGGAGGCCGGCTGGAGATCACACAGCCGCACGCCGCGGTCCTGTTACGCCACCTGGCGTAAGATGTGGGCAGGTCGCCTCATGCAAGCCCTACCTCCTCCAGAGGAGTGCAGTCCTACTTGGGGGAGAAGAACTGCGGAGCTCACGTTTCCAGGGCTGTGTCTGTTGGGCGCTGGGCTCTCCGCGGCACACACACACCTCTCCCTGCTCTCCGCTTGCTGTCCTGGCTGGATCCCCTGCGCCGCGCCAGAGCCTGCCTTCCCAGCGGTTTCTAGGGGCGGGTGGGGGAGGGAAGCGGCGAGGATTAACGCTGGATAATGAGGTAACGCATATTTTTTACGGCTTTACTATTGACTATGTGTCTTATGGCTGCTGAGGGAGGGTAGACGGTTTCCTCCCGAGTAAGTTGGGAATCCTACCCACTTACCTTCGTGCAGATGCAGAGCTGTGTGGAGACAGTCCCCCAGCGTCTCCTGTTTATTACACACAGAGCGCAGAAATGGTGCTGGGGCTGTGGGAAGGACAGGGAAGAGAGGTGAAGACAGGTGCCCTGGGGTAGATGCGCTGTGCACGGAACAGGAGCGTGGAGGAAGCACTCGTGTTTGGGCTCAGTTTTCAAAGTATTCCATTGTCTTGATTGTCAAATGTCCATGGTTTGTAAGATGCATTGTGGATGGCATGGTCAGAGGCATCCTGAGGTGAGAGACCCCAAACCAAGCACAATGCGTTAGGATCAAGGAGAGCCCGGGTGTATGATTTACCTCTCTGCCTTCGCAGAAATAGACCACCTGCAGATCATGCCTTCTGTAAGCCGAGCCCCTCCCAATTCCTGGGCATTGTCTGAGTTTTCTTGCTTCCTTCCCTCTGCAACACCTGTTTAACCACGTCGAGTGGAAGACGATGTACTTAACATCCCCCATGTTTGCAAGCGTGTGTACCTTTCAGAGAGAGGAGTGAGTCGGGGGTGGCTTGCAGATTCCAAGCTTCATGCCACAATCTGACTTTTCTTGTGTCATAGTGGAAGGTCTGGCCGAGAGGGGGTGAAAGCTGTGTCGGTCTGTGACGGCAGTGGCCGGGACCGTGTGTCGGTAAGTCCTCGTGCTTACGGAGCTCGCAGCCAGCTTTATGCACGCTTGTTACGTAGACCTAACGTGCATGTTTCCCTGTGCCGTGTTCGTGTGGATGAGAACATGGAGACAAGAACACAGAAGGAAATAGAAGTCACTGATCCTCTGACTGTAGAGACTTTGCTGTATATCCGTCCAGTTTTTTTTCCCCCTTGGGTAAAGTCTAAACCCAATGTGCGGCTTGAACTCACAACCCTGAGATCAAGGGTGGTGTGCTGTACCAACTGGGCCAGCCAGATGCTCCTCCTCCCCTCTGCATACATACACACATACATACGTGTACATACGTGCTTGCACATCTACACATGCGTGCATGTGTAGATACAGATCCCAAAATTTAATAAAAAATGGGTTTGTCCTATATCTGTTGTCTTATAACCCTTTAAACTTCAGGGGTACCTGGCCGGCTCAGTCAGTAGAGCACGTGCCTCTTGATCTCAGGGTCGCAAGTTCCAGCCCCACATTTGGTGTGGAGCCTAGTAAAACAACCAGAAACAAAAACAAAAAGGGAAAAAAAAATCGAAGCTTGAAACGTATCCTGAGTGTCCTTTGCGTGAGTGTGCATTAGTGTGTGCTGGATGTGTTCCAGTGTGTTCACAGGATGTGATCCACTGCTTGCTTCACAGTTTAGTTAACAAGAATTCCTTCCTCTACCTGGACTGGTTCCGAGTACGTGGGGGTGTGAGGGCCGCGTGGTGAGAGGACTGTTCTCTTGTCGCTCCTGATTTCAGAATGAAGATAATACACGGCAGCCTGACTTTAATTTGGGGGGTTGCACGTGCACGCCGTGCGGAGGGTTACTCCTCATGGCCGCAAAATGCACAAGAACCTCCAGAGTCCGTTCTGTAGCCCACGGGTGGGCATGTGGGTGGGGCTGCAGCCCCTTGGGCTCTGCAGTCGTGTGGCCTTAGGGGTGGCGAGCGCCTGGCTCAATGCGGGGCGGGGGCGTGTGGCTCCCACCAGAGCTGTGTCCCCTAGTGGCCCTGTTTGCTGCTCACAGGCACAGGTCTTGCTTCTCTGGCTACTCTCAGCCCCCTCGTCCCTTGATCCTACTGCGTCCCCCTCTGTGGCGACATGATGTGTCCTGTTTTCCGTTTTATTCGTAGCTGTGACAGGGAGTCAAGCTCATTCTCTAAACGCTTCATGTGGAATAAACACGTTTCAAGTGTGCAGTTTAACATACGTGTACACCGTGAGACCGTCACCACCGTCAGGATGATGGCCATGGCTGCCATCCCCCAAATCTCCTAGGCCTTGGTAATTCTGCCTCCCTCATTGTGCGCCCCAACGGCCCCCCACCCAGTCCGATCTGCCCTGTCGCTGAATGTGACACTGTGCATTTCCTAGAGTTTTGTATACATGGACTCGTGCACTATGGCTTCTTTCTGCTTATCTGCATTTTTGGTCGGGCTTCTTTCACTCAGCGTAATTAAGTATTTTCGCGTTCCCCCGCACTGGAATGTCTCCATGGTTCCTTCTTGTATTATGCAGTGGCAGTCCCGTCTGTGGGTCCACCACCCAACTGGTCTGTTTACTGTGCACAGGACATTTGGATTGTTTGTAGGTTTGGTTATTACTGACAAAGCTGCCAGGAACATTGGCGCACAAGGCTTCGTGTGGAAATATGCCTCTGTTTCTCTCAGGTAGATGCAGTGGCTGGTACATGTACATTTAACAGTTTACGAAACCGCCAAGCTGCTTCCCCAGGTGGTTGGACCATTTCATGTTCCTGTTGGCAGGTAGGAGAGTTCCTGCCGCCCCCCGCCCCCCACCCCCAGCACTTGTCAGCATGTTTGATCTTAGCCGTTCCAACGGTGGTGGTTTCAGTCTGCATCTGCCTAGTGCCTAATGACCTGAGCATCTCTCCATGTGCTTACTGTCCCATCTGTGTATATTTTCTGGTGAGGACTCTGTTGGAATCTTTTGCGCATCATTTTTATTGACCTGTTTTCTTGCTGAGTTTCAAGAGTTCTTTATAAAATATTGGTAAAGGTCCTTTATTAGATTATGTACTTTCCAAGTGTTTTCTACCAGACACTGGTTTGTCTTTTCATTCTGTTTTTTGTTGTGGTTGTTTTTTAAGATTTCATTTATTTATTTGAAACAGACAGAGAGAGAGAGAGCACAAGCAGAGGGAGCGACAGAGGCAGAGGGAGAAGCAGACTCCCCGCTGATCAGGGAGCCCAACGCGGGGCTCGATCCCAAGATCCTGGGATCATGACCTGAGCCGAAGGCAGCGGCTTAACCACCTGAGCCACCCAGATGCCCGTTCATTCTATTAATAGTGTCTTTCACAAGAGCAAAAGTTTTGAGTTTTGGTAGAGTCCAATTTATCAATTATTTCTTTTGTGGATTACATTTTTAGTGATGGATCTAAGAATTTTAACCCTAGATCACAAAATTTTTCTTCCATTTTTTCTTGTAAAAGTGTTCTGGTTTTACATCTTACTTTTAGGTCCATGACCCATTTTGAGCTAATTTTTGTAGAAGTTGAAAGATGTGGGTCAGAGTTCATTGTTTTGAATATGGATGTCCAGTTGTTCAGTACCATTTGTAAGCAGGTTATCCGTTATCCATCGAGTGTCTTTTGCAATTTTATAAAAAGCCAGTTGAGCATATTTAGGTGGTTCTACTTCTGGACTCTGTCCTGTTCCACTGATCTATGGGACTGTCCTTTTGCCAGTACCACACAGTCTTGATTGCAATAGCTTTATACTAAGGTTTGGAATTAGATAGTGTGAATCCTCCAACTCTGTTGTTTTTGAAAATTGTTTTGACTGTCTTTGTTCATTTTCTTTCTATATGAATTTTAGAATCAGCTTGCTAATACCTAGAAAAACTTATGCTGAGATGTTGATTGGGATTTTGCTGAGTCTGTAGATCATGTTGGGTTGTGTTCACATTTTAATACTCTGAAGTCTTCCAGTCCATGAACATGGGATGCTTTTCCATTTATCTATATCTTCTTTAATTTCTTCTAGCAATGTTTAGTACTTTTCATCATCCGCGTCTTTCACCATCTTGGTTAAGTAAATTCCTATGTATTTTATTCTATTTGATGCTGCTGTCAGTGGAATTGTTTTTGTAATTTACTTTTTAGATTGTTCATTATTGGTGTGTAGAAATGCAGCTGATTTTTGTGTGTTGACTTTGTATCCTGCGACTTTACTGAATTCATGTATTAGTTCCCACAGTGTGTGTGTGTGTGTGTGTGTGTTTGTTTGTGTGTGTCTAGAATTGTTAGGGTTTCTACATGTAAAATCATATCATCTGCAAAATAATTTGACTCCTTTCCAATTTGGGTGTTTTTCTTTCTTTCTCTCTCTTTCTCTATTGCTCTGCATAGTTACCCTGGCTAGAACTTCCACTACTGTGTTAAATAGAAGTGGCACAAATGAACATCCTTGCCTTGTTCCTCATCTTAGAGGAAAACCTTTCTGCCTCATCATTGAGCATGATGTTCACTGCGGGTTTTTCATAGATGGCTTTGGTTACATTGAGATAATTTCCTCCTATTCTTAGTTGCTGCTTTGTGTGTGTGTGTATCACAAACGGGTATTGAATTTTGTCAGATACTTTTTCTGAATCAGTTGAGTTGATCATGTGATATTTTTCCTTAATTCTGTTGATGTGGTGCCTTACGTTGATCAGTTTTTGTATGTTGAACCAATCTTCTACTCCAGAGGTAAGTCCCACTGGTCATGGTGTATAGTCCTCTAACATGCTGCTGAGTTCTGTTTGCTGGTATTTTGTTGAGGATTTTCACATCAGTGTTCATAAGGGATATTGGTCTGTAGTTTCCTTGTAGCGTCTCTGTCTCACTTTGGAGTCAGGGTAATGCTGGCTTCCTGGAATGAGTTTGGAAGTGTTCCTTCCTCTTCAGTGTTTGGAAAAGTTTGAGGATTGGTATTCGTTCTCCTTAAAACGTTTGGTAGAATTTCTCAGTGAACCCTCCAGGTCCAGGGCTTCTCCTCTCAGGAGATTTTGATTACTGATTCAATCTCCTACTAGTTACATGCGTATTCAGATTTTTTTACTTCTGTGTGACTTATTCTTGCTAGGGTTTGTGTTTCTAGAAATGTGTCCATTTCTTTTTCTTTCTTTTTTTTTAAGCAAGCAGAGAGATTTTCTTTTTTTTTTTTTTTAAAGATTTTATTTATTTATTTGACAGAGAGAGACACAGCAAGAGAGGGAACACAAGTGGGGGAGTGGGAGAGGGAGAAGCAGGCTTCCCACAGAGCAGGGAGCCTGATGTGGGGCTTGATCCCAGGACCCTGGGATCATGACGTGAGCCGAAGGCAGACGCTTAATGACTGAGCCACCCAGGTGCCCGAAATGTGTCCATTTCATATAGGTCATCCCATTTGTTGGTGTGCAGTTGGTCACAGGACTCTCTTCTAATCCTAGTTCTATGGAATCTGTAGTAATGCCCCATTTCCAGTTTTCATAATATGAGTCTTCACTCTTTTGTCCGTAGTCCATCTAAGTTAAAGTTTTGTTAATTCTGTTATGTTTCAGAAGAACCAACTTTTGGTTTCATTGGTTTTCTCTATTTTCTATTATGTGTTGTGTTCGTCTCAGTTCTGTTTCTTTATTAGTTCCTTCCATCTGCTAGCTTTGGATTCAGTCTGCCCTTTTTCTCGTTCCTCAAGGTATAAACTTGCATTGTTGATCTGGGATCTTTCTTGGTTTTCAGGGTCAGCACTTACAGCTACAAATTTCCCATCAGCAATGCTTTCCCAGTGTCCCATAAGTTTTAGTTATGTCGTGTTTTCATTTTCATTTGTCCCTAAGTATTTTCTAATTGCCCTTGTGATTTCTTCTCTGGTTCACTCGTTCTTTTTTTTTTAAATATTTTATTTATTTATTTGAGAGAGAGAGAGAAAGGAGCGCGGGGAGGGACAGAGGGAGAGGGAGAAGCAGACTCCCCATTGAGCAGAGAGCCCGACGTGGGGCTCAATCCCAGGACTCTGGGATCATGACCTGAGCCAAAGGCAGATGCTTAACTGACTGAGCCACCTAGGCGCCCCAGATCCATTCATTCTTTAGTAGTCTGTGTTTTAATTTCCACAATTTTGTGAATTTTCCAGTTTTCCTTCTGTTACTGCTTTCTAACTTCATATCACTGTGGTCAGAGAAGATACTTTGTACATTACCTGTCTTTTGAAATCTGTTAAGACTTCGTTTGTGGGCTAACTTGTGGTCTATTTTGGGGACCGTTCCAAGTGCTCCTGAGTGGAAGGTGTGTGTGGTTGCTGGGTGAAGGGTTCAGTATATGTGTCTTAGATCTAGTTGGTTTGTTTAGTCCTTTTTGTCCTCACTTGTCTTCTGTCTGGTTGTTCTATCCCTTATCGAGAGTGGGGTGTTGAAGTCCCCTGTTGTTGTGGCATGCTCCATTTCCACCTTCTATTCCATGAACATGGTATAGCTCACTGTTTCTGAAGGTCTTATTTCATTTTTTTTCACCAAAGTCTTGTAGTTTTCAGTACACAGACCCTACATGTATTTTGTTAAGTTGATATCTAACTATTTAATTTTTGAGGAGCTGTTGTAATAGGTACTGTTTTTTTTTTTTTTTTTTTAATTTCCATGTCTGGTCTTTCATTGCTTGTTTATAGAAATATGATTGATTTTGTTATACTGACCTTGTATTTTGTGGCCTTGCTAAATTCACTTTTGAGTTTGAGGAGATAGTTTGATACGTCCTTTGGGATTTTCTGCATAGCCAATCATGTCATTCTCAAACAGAGCTAATTTTATGCCTTCTTTTTTCCTAATCTGATGACTTTCATTTCCTTCTCCTCTTCGCTCCACGGAGTAGGACTTCCAATACATTGTGGAATAGAAGTATTCAGCCTTGCCCCGTCCTTGGCCCAGTGTAAATGCAGGTATAGGACAAACATCCTGTCCTGGGTAGGGAAGGAGACTCTTGCCTGTAGTGCTTATTACTGCCTCATGTGGTGCAGCTGGCCACACTCTACTTGTCTCATTAGCATCTGAGAATTGGGTTAAAATTTAAAATGATAAAAGGCATTATCTTTAGTGTTATGTAGGATAGGAAAGAGGGAGCAGTGTAAATATTTCAGGGTGGAGTGAATGGTAAACCAGTTCATGCTACGTCCTGCGGATAACTGGTACCAAAAGCCAAACTTTAGACTTTCTTATTTGAGATCATTACAGACTTGCAAAAGAGTTGCAGAAACAGTACACAAAGTGAGTCTTTTCCTTTCCCCCTGATTGCTCACATTACTATCACACCACGTGTGTGTTGTCTCATCGTCTCTGTGTGTATGTGCACACTTGCAAATTTATCTTCCTGAAGACACGTGAGAGCACATTCCTGAGGCAAGGCCTTTAATGGCACACGTGTCAGTGTGGCGTTCCTACAGGTGGGACCACGTGTGTGTTGCAGTGTGGTTATCGGTGGCAGGGAGCCAACCTGGCCAAGCCCTAGAGCCCTCGGATGTTCTCGGTTATGAAGACTGTGTCATAAGGCCCACAGTGTGGGGGTGCAGGGGCGTGGGGGTGCAGGGGTGTGGGGGTGCAGGGGTATGGTGCTAAAATGTGCACTTGTCCTGCAGACCCTCTGTGCCCCAGGGTGGCCCTCGAGGACTCAGTGTCAGCGAGCCCTTGGAGGGTCAGACTTTAGTGGGCAGGGGAGCACTGGGTCAAGGGAGGTGTGGCCCTGGTTCTCTCACTGCGTCCATGCTGGTCCTCATGCAGTCACTGCAGCTCACTAGGGAAGGTCATGCTGTTGCTGGGCAGGTGTGCCCACTGTCTGCATGTGTGGCCCCAGGTTCTGCCAAGACCCCCAGGTTTCACTGTCGCCATGACTCCCAGGTTCCGCCATCTTTGTGCATGACCCCGGGTTCTTCTGTGACTCCCTTGTTCTGCCCCGTGCACCTGTGACCCCTGGTTCTGGGCTAATCTCCTTGTGCCCTTGAGGCTGTGGTGGTCTCAGCCCTGCTTCTGCTGGGCCCCTGGGCCCCACCTGCCCCTTAGGACAGGGAGAACTGGCTCACCTGTCCCACAGGACTGACTTCCCCTGAACTTGCTGGTCACTGGCCTGAGCTCCCCATCTCCATCCTGGGCTCTGATCAGTGGGATGATGGGTACCCTATAGCCCTGAGAGACAGCCCTCGGGATTGGCTTCAGAATGGCTTGTTGTCACCTGGACACTGGTGGTTCACGGCTGTGGCTGCAGCAAGTGGACTGGGTGTGTCAGGCTGGGACGAGGACATGGTTGGGGATACAGGCGCAGTGGAAGCTGGTGTATGACCACTCAGCTGAGGGCCTGGTGGATCAGAAGCTCTGGCCGAGGCCTCTGTGCTGCAGCAGCAGTGGGTGACTCGGAGTGGCTGCCCTGCTTGCCCGGGGGCCCCTGGTGGTAATGGGCAGTGGTAGTAGCTACTTCCTGGCCACGCTTCCTCAGTCCTGCGATGTAGGGGTCCTGTCGTTAAGCTGGCCTCCATGTATCAGCGCTTCACATCCCCCTTTCTGGTTGTAGGTGCAGGAAGGACCCTCGGGGGGCCGGGATGCCAGTGGAAGTGGACCCCGACGGCGAGGGCGGCGCCCATGCAGGAGGCTCAGGAATCAGGCTGGCCAGTTCATCTCTGTGGTGACCCTCTTTGAGGTGATGGCCAGGAGGAGGAGCTCCATACTGGTACTGACCACTGCTGGGAGGGATGCATGGGCTGGGTGGGTTGTGACGTGCTTCTCTGCATCAGGCGAGGAGCTGGCTGGTTCCCACACGGATCCTGGAGGCCTTTGTCCCTGCACGGCCTGCCCATGGAACCACAAGTCCACTAGGGCCCCACGGGACCACGAGGGCACTTCCTCTCCCCATCCTGAGACACGGCGTCCCCTCCCATGTCCTCAGACGCCGTGTCCCCTCCCCATCCTGAGACACCAGGTCCCCTCCTATGTCCTCAGACACCGGGTCCCCTCCTATGTCATCAGACACCGCGTCCCCTTCTATGTCACAGGCAACACATCACCCCACATCCTGAGACACCGGGTCCCCTCCTATGTCATCAGACACCACGTCCCCTCCCCATCCTGAGACACCGGGTCCCCTCCTATGTCATCAGACACCACGTCCCCTCCCCATCCTGAGACACCGGGTCCCCTCCTATGTCATCA